CGCCGAGGCGGATATCTTCCTTGGTGACGATCGCATCATCAACAGATTACCCAAGATCTTGGGAAAGACCTTTTACAAGACAACGCAGAAGAGACCTGTCCCTGTTAACCTGCAGGCCAAGGCTCCCAAGGTCGATGGAAAGCGACAGAAGCGTGTCAAGACTGAGGGTACCGTCAACGCAGGCACTCCCGCCGAGATCGCCAAGGAGGTTCAGAAGGCCATCAACTCTGCATTCGTCAGCCTAAACCCTTCAACAAACACCTCGATCCGAATTGGATACTCCGGTTGGACCGCCGAGCAGGTCGCCGAGAACGTCGATGCCGTTGTCACCGGTATGATCGAGAAGTGGATTCCTCAGAAGTGGCGCAACATGAAGAGCATCTACATCAAGGGTCCCGAGACCACCGCCCTTCCCATCTGGTTGACTGATGAGCTCTGGGTCGACGAGAAGGACGTCATTGCTGAGGGCGAGGCCGCCAAGGCTGAGAAGCCCAACATTGGAAAGAAGCGCAAGTCTCTCGACAACACCGACGAGGCTGAGACTCCCGCCGCTCCTACGAAGAAGGCCAAGAAGCAGAAGCAGCTCCCAGATGCCGACGACGGCAAGCTCGATAAGCAAATCTCGGACCGCAAGGCTCGATTGAGAAAGCAAAAGGCATCGGCCAACAAGGCCATTGACAACTGAAACGTGCAATTCAAGGCATCGGTGTTGAGGCGTTCGTTGAAGGGCGGAAAACCCACAGAATAGAATTGTAGCTATACTTGCATTAACAATACAATACAATATTGATGTTCTTACGCATATCATGCGCCTTGTTTGAAACAATTTGGTCTAATCGCAAGATAGAATCTAGGTAGTCTAGGATGCTGGCAGGAGGATGAAGCGTCTATCTAACCCGCCCCCGCCTTCCGTCGGCTCCAGGCAATATCGATGCTATCTGAGCCAGGTGCGGAGTAGATCGAGCTCGGCACAAATAGACATTACCTAGCTTTTATGTCCTCATTGCAGAATAGACTTTGTTTTTCCTATGGCCAATATTACCCCCAATACTTACGCCATTCATGATATAGTCTATCCACAGGTCAGCCAACCTTCTTGCCTCCTCTTGGGGACCTTGCAGGATTGAGAAAACTTTAGACCCGTTATCCTAAGTGATGAAAAACTTTAGGTACGTTTGGTATATTTTAGTAGAGCTTTAGACCGGTTTATTCTGGCACCCTGATTTAATATCGGAAGCTTTATTTCCATCTTGAGAGTCGTCCCCTCGAACCTACTAGGAAAGTAGCGGAAAGTGGAGGGGTCATAGCTGACGTCTTCAGCTCCCCACACAACCTACTCCATCTTCATCTCCATCTCTAGCGAGATAAGTTGGAGCTGAAATAGCACTTCTGAGGTGTCTTCTTGAGGTCAGTCCAATAAAATCACCAGCATGAGAGACATGCTTCTTTTTATCTATAGTATAAATATAAGTACCCTTCGTAATGCAGCTTACAGATCGTGCCCTTAGCCTACCTAACTTAAGGTACACTGTGCCTGAGTCTCTGGGGCTTGTATTTGTGGCGTTATGATTAGCAGCCAATCAATACAGGAATACGAAGAGTGCTATTTCCGCTCCAAAGCGTCTTCATCTCCATCATCATCATCTCCATCATCTTCTTCTTCCCCATCATCTCCGTCTTTATCACCATCCTTGGGTAGAAGAATTATTAAGATCCCCGACTACCCCAAAATTCACTGGCGTTCCGCGCATCGACAAGTCGTTTTTTATCTCCCCCCGTTAGGCATCATGTTTGCCCCATCCTTGCTCCGGCTTGGGTTGGCCATCGGATTGGCTGGACAGAGCTATGCTTCCCCTTCTACACCACCTATTCACACAAGAGACGACCTATCCGATACCCCAATACCTATTGTTGTTTGGCACGGCCTTGGTGACCAATTCAACAGCGATGGAATGAAGAGCATCCAAGCCCTCGCAGAAGAAATCCACCCAGGAACCTTTGTTCATATCATTGCCATCGACGAGGATCCCGGCCAGGATCAAGTGGCCACTTTCAAGGGGAACGTCTCGGACCAAGTCAGCAAGGTTTGCGAGGAACTAGCCAAGCACCCCATTCTGTCTACGGCGCCTGCTATTGATGCCATCGGTATCTCTCAGGGCGGACAGTTCCTCCGCGGTTACGTCGAGCGCTGTAACTGGCCACAAGTCCGCAGTCTCGTCACATTTGGCAGCCAACACAATGGCATCATCGACTTCAGATCCTGCGGCGCTACCGACTGGCTCTGCAAGGGAGCTATGGGTCTCATGAGATTCGGTACCTGGAGCAAATTCGTCCAGTCAACCCTCGTCCCCGCGCAATACTACCGCAACCCAGCAACCGAAGCCGATTACAACAAATACCTCGAGAATTCCAACTTCCTTGCCGACATCAACAACGAGCGCGAGTTAAAGAACCAAAAATACAAGGCGAATCTGAGCAAATTGACCAACTTCGTCATGTGGATGTTTGAGGACGATGATCTCGTTATCCCCAAAGAATCTTCGTGGTTTGAGGAGGTCAATGGCACAGAAGTTATCCCTCTTCGAGCTCGCGAGCTTTATCAAGAGGATTGGCTTGGTCTTCGCGAGCTTGACCGCAATGGCGGCCTCAGATTCCGAAGTGCCCCTGGTAAACACCTCGAGAACCTCCATGAGCTACTGAACGAGACCATCACCAACTACTGCGGCCCGTGGAGACGAACGTTTGAGTGGGAAATGAAGGACTCCGGGGATAGGTTGGAGTTGATTTGAGTTAATTTGAGTTAATCATTAGTTTTATCATTATAGTTATTCAACAGACTGTTATACCCCTGCCATGCCTCGTACATGTACCTCGTTCCAACTCTCACGAACGCGCAAAATGAATAGATTTTGATGACAAGGCAAAAGTCTCGACTTGTGATGTAAGCAACTGTGCTGAAATAGTCTCAATTATTAGCAGGACCGACCCTTTGAGAAAGATATCTTTGAGAAAGCTCAACTCTAGGGTTGGTTCAAAAACAAACTGGGACGGTTGCCCTATCACGTCCTGAACGTCATCATCAAGATGATCACGGCAGCTCTGTATAGGTGCTTCACGTCTTTGAAATACTTACCTTGTAACCTCTCGTTTTATTAATGATCATATCGTGCTCAACGAACTGTTTACTGTCGAGAGTGTATCTGAGGCGTGTAATTGACTGCGCCACAGTCCTCAGCTTCAGCCACATCGCAATTGCTTTGCATCATGACAACTGAAGTAATTTTGACTCTACGCGACAACAGACATCATCGCCGTAACTGTCGGGAGATTTCTGCCACTTTTATATCCCTACTTCATAGTGAGCATCCTTAATTGAAGCCGGCAAAGTTTGCGTGCTATAGCACCCACCGACGAGGCCCACTTGTTCCAATTCATCGACCATTCTATTCTGACACCGAACAACGAACCGCAAACTTGCGACCACAATCATACTATCATCCCTACCGCTCCAATGACAACCTCAAATAATGGCCCATCCGCGGCCACAAACGGCGACGCGATACCAAGGATTGGACCCCATCCAGGCACCATCTCCAGTTCGAACCAATACACATCAGAGCTCAAGCTGCGACGTATGCTCAAGGACCATGGCTGCGATCCCGCAAGACAGGATAACTACCGTCTTCAAGGTGTGCAGTTGATTGAGAATGTGAGAGAATATCTGCAACTGTACGTCGGGTCTTGTATGGGAGTACGTGGGGATTAGAGACTGATTAAGCAACAGACCGGTGAGGACGTTCGATACGGCGTGCACGTATTTCCACAAATTCCGACTCAACTTTAGAGACGTCGAGTACAACTATCAAGACGCTGCACTAGCATCGCTATTTGTCGCGTGTAAGGTGGAAGATACTATCAAAAAGTCAAAAGAGATTCTCGCGGCGGCATATAACGTGAAGAACCCCGAGAAATCTGTCACGCCCGATGACAAGGTACGTCCAACAAACAGCAATCACAGCCCCGTCCTAACCCTCTTAGATGTTCGAGAACCCAGGCAAAATCATCATCTGCCTCGAACGTCTCATCCTCGAAACAATCGGCTTCGACTTCCGCACACGCTACCCCCAAAAACTACTCGTGAAAGTCGTCCGCGACATCTTTGGCAAAGAAGATGGAAAACCCTTCTTCGAGACCGCATACGCAATGTGTATCGACATTTACAAGACCTTTGTACCCATCAAGCGCACGACGTTCTCCATGGTCATGGCAGTCGTGGAGCTCACAGCTCTCATGACAGAACAGCACGTGGACAGAGTTCAAGAGTACGCAAAGACGAAGCGTCAGTACCACTGGGGTTCTGTTATGGAGACTATGCTTGATATACTAGATTTATACGTCCAGCATGGGAAATCGACAAAGGTCGGGGCACAGTTTGATCAGAATAAGATCATCGACATCAAGATTCGGCTTAACAACGATCTTGACAAGGCGTTCGAACCTCGATATCTGTACTACTGCTCTCGGTGCGAAGCCGAAGACCCCCAGCCTTCTACGCCGGCATCTGCGACATCGCCCGCGACATCAACATCATGGCCTGGCGATGGAAAACGAACGGTGAAGGGGCCAGAGGGGACGTTGCGTTTTGTGTTCGAGCCAGACGCTGCGTTGAGAGAAAGGGAGATTACTGAAGGATTCTTTAAGGAAGAGTTCGAAGAGTATGAAGTCGAGGTCGAAGAGCCGGTGCCTCCGCCGCCAAGGGAGGACAGGGGAGGATATCATGGGCATAGAGAGAGGGGAAATCATAGGAGGGGAGGACCGTATGGGGGTTATCGAGGGGATAGGCATTACAGAGGAAGGGGTAGACACTACTGAGTCTAGTGATACACAAGGACACTTTTTATTCGAGATACCCATTCTTATTGCCATGGCAGCATAATATTCTATTCACTCATGGTCATACATCTAATCGTCCATACAGTCATATACATGGATATCATCAACTAAGCCATCGTCTCCCCCTTGACCTCCCCATGATCCCCAATCAGCAAATCCTCTCCCGACGGTCCACTCGACTTGACACCCTCCAACTCCCCTCCATCCTTATTCGCAACCGTCTCCTCAGCACTCTTGACACTACTCGCTTTGCTAACATCCGCACTCGCAGGACTCTGAACCCTAAGGCCCAAATCTTTCTGATTGTCTGGATCTTCCATATTCGCACCCTTCCAATCCGCCGGTCGGACCTGCGGCACGGGCTGTCCCTCTTCTGGCTCGAGAACTTCTTCAGGTAGAGCGTCTGTGCCGGCGACGCGCCATACTACAGCAATTCGATCAAACGCCCGTGAACCCTTGCGGCTGGATCCTTTGATTCCGTCCATGGCGTCCCATTCGATGCTGAAGACGCCGCTATCGAGGGCCTTGCCGTCTCGTTCGGGACCTTGGCCTTCGAAGAACGTGTTGAACCATACGTGTGCGACGGCTGTTACCATGGTAAGGCCCATGCTCTTGGGGGTCTTGTTACGACGCTCGACTGAGATGTTGACATCGCTGTTGGGAATGCGGATGGGGGCCTTGGGTCTTAGAATAACCGCCATGCCGCCTGGTTCTTCCTCCGAGTTTGCTTCTGTGACATCGGTCTTGGACGATGTAGCAGAGTCATTCTTGGTTCTCTCAACGCCCTTATGGGAACCTGCGGGCGAGACCTTGTGAAGCATCTCTGTGCCCTTTCGTTTGATGGTCTTCGCCTTGCCAATATGCCCCTTTTCCTCAGTTGCCGATGCTGGTGTTTCACCTGGGTTTGTTGCCTCTGAAAAGTGAGCTTCATCAGGAGCTTTCTCCTTCTGCTTGGTGACCGAGTAGCCGGCCATTTCCCATATCATATCGCTAATACCACTCTCCTCAGGTGCTTCAGGATCAACAACTACACGCTCTTCCTTTTTGAAGGTGTGAAAGACATCGATCTTCTTGCCCTCATCCGCAAAACCCTCAATATCAACCTTTACGCCGTTACGCAAACCCCAGACGTGAATCTCAGGGATCTCGATGGGTCGGTCGGTATACTTCTTGCCGCCTTTTGTCCAGCGTTCCACATAGCTGATCCAGCGCAATTGTGAAGGGATCGAGACACCAGCACCAAATCGCGGTCGCATTCGTCGTTCCGTGAAGCGCGCAAGGGCATCTTCGGGTTTCCAGCCCTCCTCTGCGATGAGATAACTGCAGCTCACTGTACCACTCCGTCCCTTGCCAGCTTTGCAATGAACCACCACCACTCTCTTATCGCGCTTCTCTTTCCTTTGTGCCTCGGTAACAACATCTTTACCAGAAGACATGGGTCTTCCGTCGCCCGCGACGGCACCACCGCCTAGTTCTCCGCCATGTAACCAATTGCGCATACTGGCCATGATCATGGGCACGAGTCTGAATGGAGGTGGGTGGTGATCAGGCCATGGGTAATGCCTCACGCGACCATATACAGATTCATCAGGATAGCCTGTTCCTTCGGCGCGAAACTCCCATATAGCCCAGTCTTCACCGTGTTTCGAATCGAGGAATTTGACGAGCTGGTCGAGAGGGTTTCGGTATGCGAGTTGGGGATATGTTTCTGAAGGACCAGATCTGTGAGGCTAAGCGTTAGCACAGTCGCTAGAGATCGAGTTGGCTTCAGAGGGAGCGACTGCGACACCGCTCCCGCGATAAAACCCTTCTGATCAATAGACTTACGCCGCGATGATATGATCTGTAACGTAGCACAAGTCCAAGCCAGCCTCAGGATGCCGAGCTCGCGGCCCCGCGACAATCTGTCGCAAGATCGAAGCCATCACCAGCAGCGGTCGTAAAGTTATATATATCTTAATAGTGTTCAAAACGACCAACTACAATTGGATTGGGCTGGAAAGCTGTTGGAGGAGGCGATGGGTTTGGGATGAACAGAACAGGCTGAGGCCGCCTGGTCAAAAGATCCATACGTAACTTGCCTGGCGACGTCATCCCTTGCGCCCCACCAAGGGACCTGACCTTTATCGGGCTTTGATATCATCGGCAGCACATGAAGAAGTTACCACGACGAGATGAGATGATCATTACGACAAGGTTTTAACAAATAACGCAGCTAAATAGAAGCCTTCTTTTTCGGTAAACCTTGTTTTCGAGACCTGGCTGGACCTTGTGCCATCGAATATACTCAATGGCTTCTTCTCCGAGAATGCGCCATGTTTCGATGCCAAGTTCACAACCATGTATTCCTCGGAAATACCAATTACAGGTCACGAGAAGCTATACTTGAGCAATGAACAATTTATCATGCTTCTCATCACTGCAACAATGGCACAAATCATGATCAAACCGGAAATTCGAATACAATAAAGCTAACACCAGGAAATCCATACCCATCCATCCACCCATCCAGTCTCCTTCGTTAACTTCCTCATCATTTCCATGGCCACTTCCATTTCCTCCTCGCCTCTAATACATCGTGCACCAAGTCGATATGCTCGGCCCACAAAGCTATCTCCGCGTGCGCATGAGAACAGTCGCCAGAAAAGTTCTCCAAGTATAGGACAAAAAAAATACAGTCACGAGGCCAAGCCTCTTTTCCACGTTCCTATGGTTGTGCGGTTGTACCAGTTACACCCATATTCTTTGTCCAGTCTGAAATCGTCGTCGCGTTAACTGCAAAGCAGCTAGTCCAATCGTAGCGTCATGGCGTTTCTATCTTATCAGGTTCCGCTTTGCCTCGATTCATATCCGTTCAGTATAGTCAAGTCAGAATGACACGAAGCTGCGTATCGTTGTGTCGAGCTTATGAGGTCTTCTTAGCAGGGCCGCTAATGTACTTGCTGACGTCAGTAGCGTCGTGGAACTGCTTGCCGGCCTCCTTGACACCTTGCCAGACCTGTCGGGCGGCAGGGGGAGTGCCCTGAGCACTGACGAGGGAGTCGACACGAGCACCGAGCTGGCGGAAAGAGGTCTGAACATGAGTGCTCTGGCTGTAACGAGCTCGGAGGAAAGCAGTGTACAGAACAATGAGGATCCAAGATCGGCGCTGGAAGAGAATAGCGGAGAGGAGAATACGTCCCCAGAGAGCAATCTCGAGGTAGGAGACGATAGCCATAGAAGCATCGTAGTACTCCTTGACGAAAGCGCCAATCTGGTTAGCAAGGGGGCTGTTGGCAGCCTGGCGGCTAGGGGAAGCACCATCAGCAGCCTCGGGCGCAGGCTTGGGCGCAAGGACAACGGGGATGAGGTTGGCGCGGGTGTAGGTGGCAACGTGGAAAACCGAGTAGATCGTGTAAGGGATCAAGGCGAGGGGGTACTGGGGAGAGAATAGCCACACAAGGGCCATGGCTTTTTGAGGTCAGTAAGGTTGCGCAGATCTAGCAAGATATGCTTCAGAAGCTCTTACCAAGATACTGGATGTTCTCATCAGCAAGGAGAGCCATGGGGGTAGGAGCAGCTCGGGCGCCAGTCTTTGCGCGAGCGCGCATGGTCTTGTAGACGACAATGCCATAGGTGACAGCGGCAGCGATAAAGGCAGTACGGTAGGAGAGCTGGGCCATGCGGGTGTAGTAGTTCATTCGAATCCAGGACAAGAAATATCGGCCCGTCGTAAGGATCAGGGTAAGGTGTCTATAGTCAAGAGAGCTTTGTCAGTCACAGATCTGGCTATTTGTTGGCGATGAGAGCTCCAAAGAGGGAGGCTGAAGATCCAAAACAGCTATCGTGGCCATTTCGTCGCACCGAGGCAGAGCGGGACAAAGGTAAGTTCATGACAAGACGTACCCGACAAACCAACCGACTACAAGAAACACCAAGTTAGCAATGCGATTCCATTACAATGTCTGCGCGCAAGGTCGCATCTCAAGATACCACGTACACTGGAGGGTCTTGGCAAGGGCCAGAAGCCTCTCCTGGAGAGGAAGATTGGGATTCGGCGGGGGAGCCATTGCGTCTAGGATTAAGAGAGTCGAGAAATGATGCGATCTAGTATAATTTCAAGTGAAAGAGCGTGAGCGATGGTCGTTGAGGACGCGCTGATGCTGTTATTGAGAGTCGAGGATGCTGCTGATGAATGACGATGTCGTAAGGAAGAGAAGACAAGTTGTGGGCTTCGGCTTTTGGAAGTGGGTAAGAATCAAGGCAGGGGAGAGAGTGATGGAATGGACTGTGGCAGTGACGGAGCCCGCCCCCGCTTTGGATTTGAGGTGCCCCAAGCTCCAGGGCTCAGGACAGGTTTCAGCGATCGCTTTCCAGCGCGGTTCAGCAGCTGAGGCGCTAAAACGGCTGCCTATCTTTTGGGAGGGGAAGAAATGACTGGGGGCTGGGCGCTATCTAAGACCCGACGGGAGGGAGCTCAAGGTGGGGGAAGGACAAAGAGGCTGGTAAGGGAGTTTGTCTGAGACTGTGAAGATGAGGAAATTAATATTGATTGCGGTTTCTTAGAGGTCGCACTGAGCTTTTAGACCATGTTTGATAGGTTTTTCCTTTATCGTATCCATTGGTTGTACACGACGCCAACTGAAACGCTTGTCCAAGCTTATCGAGAGGTGGTGATGGCTTCGATGACGACAATAAACCTGTTCGAAAGCACGTGAAGGCGCCACTAGTCGGAGAACTTTCCTGGAATACAAACCGCCACAGCATAATTTTTCTACCTACAAACTCGTGCTTTGTAGGAGTTATCTCTAGTACTTTTTGCGGCGACTTCATCTAATGTACGAAGCGATATCTCATTCAATTCTCATCGTCAGTCGAACAAAGAGCTTCAGTAAGCTGGCCTTCAAGCTTTAACTTTCGTCATCGCCTGATGCCAGCTTTTACCAAGGCCCAGGCCCCTGCATAGCTGAACCGCCGGACCTACGTCTCAGCCAATGAGAGCTGGACGTTTCCAATTGGTGGATGGAGCTTGAATCGACTTGTGAGCGGGCTAAAATCTTCTTTTTGGACTTCGCGACTATATCGTTCAGATAATCAGGAAATCCATAGGGTGGAAGCGGTTCTTTCGGGAGATATCGTGAGTTTCATCTGAGTATTTTGGCCGTCTGTGGATGTGATGTGGTTTCGCTGTTAAATACTAACTTGTTTCCACGTTATACTTCCAAGATGGAGGAGTTACCCTGCACCATTTCTCGATACTTCAAGGCAAGGCCACAGCACGCTCGGAATTAAGAACTTTTTTTTTTAATAAAGTTAAATACGATAACTAGTCCATAAGAGAGATATCGCTATCAATTGTAGGAAACTGCTCAAGTCTTGTGGAGGGCACATCCAGGGACGAGCATAGCAGGCCATGAACAATGGCTTTAGAGAGATCTTGTGTTAGAATACTTTATTGAAGAGGGGAATGATTGAGACGGCCAATCTTAGTCTGAAAAGTATTTTTTGGTCCAGGGTCATCTCTTGAATGATATACCAGAGCATCTTTGAGTTGATTGGCCCATATTCACATTCGGAAAGCCATTATACTTCAGTTGAAGCCTTGAAGTTTATGTGCGGTGGTGAAGAGACCCTGGACTGTGTTTTATCTTCAGATGGTTTGAGGTTTTATCTCGCAGTTAATGAGACAACCCTAAGCTCATGGCAAGTCTTTAAGCGCTGTGAATGCATCTTCAAGCTGTATCTTCCATGCTCCATCGTCTCCATGTTGCGTTTGATGTTCCCGATTGCTCTCAAACGACATCTCAAACGACAGCTTCCTTCGTCACTCATTGTCAATACCAACAAGCATGCCTTCATAAGGACGAAACATGTGCAAACAAAGTTGTTGGCTGCGAGGCTTATATGGGTCGAGATCCCGTCACGTAGGTAGTCACGTTGTGATGCTTTGCCAAACGTTGTTTCTGCAGGCCAACTATCACTCGCAAGAGCAACGACACTATTGGAGATAGCAGTAGGCGTACTGAACTCAACTCAACTTTTTGTATTATTCCCCTCTTTCTCTAAGCCCATATTACGACGCCTTAGCCATACCGTCAGGATATGTTGGGAGAGACACGTATTAAAGGCCCTGACTTCTTCACCACGATACACCAGGTCACTTCGCCTTTACACTCCCGATGTTGATCAAAGCTACAGAGATAGCTACTTCTTCTTCACTTCTTCACGTCTTCACTTCTTCACTTTATTGTTAGAGAACATACGCACGAGTGATTTACCAAATGGCAACTCTCAAACGCGGGATGTCCTATGAGCTTCTCGCCAAAACTCCCGGGCTATCATTCCCCTCATCAACCACACCAGTCTCGTTATCAAGAATCTGTGCAGAAGTCTTTGGTGGTTCAGATCCACTACCAAAAATGACCAAAGCGGAGGTAGAAGACAACATCTGCGAGTTCTTGACCGAATGTGACAACCACTTCCACAGCCTCACCATTTGCCCCATACACCATCCCTTGGCGTCAGCATGTGTATGCCAGGAAAAGATGAACTACAAGCACATTGCCAGCAGTCTCGAGAAATCTTGGGCAAGACCTATTGATCCCGGTCACGTCAAAGCCATAGTCGAAGCAACCTTGAGCGCTCGAGTCGAGGTCATCAACGAGAATAATGGTATCAAGAACGATATAAAGGGGGCCAAAAGCCTCATCCTCCTCAACGTTCATATCCTCCTTTGCATATTCGCAGAGTTCAAGCATAGCCACGATTGCAGTCTTGTGAATAGCCTTACTTGGAACATCACTGGTGCTATCGACCAGAAACAAGAAGCTCAAGAGAGGAAAAAAACGCTTCTCAGGCAACGAAAGGCTAAGAAAGCCAAGTCTGTCCCAGGCGCTGGAGATCCTTCAACGGCAGATGCGGCTGTCGCTGAGGAAAGGTTCGTAATGCTTTCGACGTGTTGTTGCTGTAAGCTGACTCTCAAAGGAAACAATGAACAGAATCGCCTTGATGATGCAGCTACTGCAAGCTGCTGTCACATACGACCATAGCTCTTGGGGAATACGGGATCCCGTCCGCTCTCCCATCGTCAAGCCGAGAAGCGGTGAATTGGTACTCAGGTCGGTGACGACTGGGGAATCCTCACTGTTGTATGTTTTTGCTGGTGTTTTCCATTTTTGCGAGATATAGCTACGGATTGGTGAATGGTGAATGCTCTCAGCGTTGTCGCCTGGCGGCCCAGGGTACCAAGTCATAACACCGATGAAGCGCCTGGGGGAAAGCCATATTGTTACCTATGTAAGGTGTATAAGTATAGAACCGTAGGAGATTGGATGAGCTACTTTATTGCGCATCGACAATAGCTCCCTAAATTCAATGATTTGAAAGAGGTTGTGACGGTAGCCAATCGGAGGAGAATTGTGTTGATCACTGTTTCGCCATAAGCCTCATACGTAATGATCCATTCAGATCTCCCAGAGCATGAAACCATCTAACCCGCGGGAGATATAAGAAACGGTTTAATAACTTGATATCAATTGCGGGTTAAATACTACGGAGCATGAGTTCCGATACCCTCGCCGATCAAAGGATTCCCCCATGCGCAAGAATTGCATCACCAAAGATATGGGCAATCCAAGATGCCCATTAGCCACGCATCTCAGCTTCACACCCATCCAACGGGCATGGCAGGGAATAATTCAGGTACCGCTCACAGCCACAGCCACAGCTGTCACGACGACTTTTCGCCTCTTGATCTCTGTTTCATATTCTAAAAACTGGACCCCTTGGGGGATGATGCATCTGGGACGTCAATTGCCCTCCCGCCAAGGAGATAACCTGGTAACATGATCAGACAAGCAATTGAGATGAAACGATCCGACAGGCGGACATGAAGCTCCGGTCAGGCTCGAAAAGAGATTCTATGGATCCCTGCCCCATATGCTAGAGGGCATTCTCGTGGCCGTGTCGTCGTGTGTGTTGGAAGGTTTTGGTGAGACGAGCTGGGTAATGCTTACGTCGCTGAGACGTCAGATCCAGCAAAAGAAATGCTCAGTGTTGGTAACACGATGTGAGACTGAAAGATATAAATATTGAGATGAATGAGTACAGAATTTCACGATATCGGTCAAATCTTGATGTCTTTGTCAATTGATCTCCATCTTACAGAAACAATAGTCTTCCCAATATGTCAGCTTCAATACTCAAGCGAGCAACTTGCTCAATCGCTAGCAAGACATACTCTCATGGACGGATAGCTGCTCTTCGGAAAACACCATTCCTCTCCAAGCCAATTAGACAGCGATCTATGCACACCACAGAAAATGACAGTGCGAAACCTATGAACCCGGACCCTAGAGAGAATCCTGCCCATGAACTCACCTTACCGCGAGGAACAAATGTCGGGCGCAAGCGTTTCTCTGATTTTGAACTCGCTGGAAAGGTCTTTGTCGTCACAGGCGGTGCTCAAGGTCTTGGATTAACTCTAGCTGAGAGTCTTGTTGAAGCTGGTGGAAAAGGTACGCCAACCACATAATTGACTCGAACAACAACTAACTCAAGTCCAGTGTATTGTTTGGATCGTGCTGACCAGCCTGACGGAGGATGGCATGAAGCTCAAGCACGCGTTGTCCCAGAATGGGGCGGATCTCTACACTACCGCAAACAAGACGTATCGGACGCCGAAGGCCTCGATAAACTCATCACTGCGATCGCAGAGGAGAACCAAGGCCTCGACGGCGTGATAGCCGCAGCAGGCGTCCAGCACATTTCGCCCACCGTGGAGTATGACGCAGATGAAGTAGCACACATGCTCTCCATCAACTACACGGGCGTTTTCATGACCGCCAAATCCGCCGCCAAGCAAATGATGAAGTACAAGAAACGCGGGAGCATCTGTCTCATCGCCAGTATTTCCGGCCTCAAAGCAAACCGCGGTCTTGTTTCGCCCGTGTATAATTCCAGTAAGGCAGCTGTTATCCAACTTGCGCGCAACCTTGCTATGGAATGGAGTCCTATCCAAAAAGATGGCACAGGGGGCATTCGCGTCAATTGCATTAGCCCCGGACATATCATGACGCCCATGGTGCAGAGCAACTTTGAGGAGGTACCTGGTATGCGGGAGGAGTGGGAGAGGGAGATTATAATGGGGAGATTGGCGGAGACGCAGGAGTTTAAGGGTGCTGCGTTGTTCTTGTTGAGTAATGCGAGTAGCTACATGACGGGGAACAACCTCGTTATTGATGGAGGACACACGTCGTGGTGATGAATAGAGGGGTGCTGATAAGGAGATTCTATGACTGAAGACGAGAATCGATGGTAGATTAATAGCAAGCCAAGCCATTTGTTTCACAGCGTAGTCCTCATCCCTTCAGCGTCGTATCACTCCAGTGCTTCATTCTCTTAGGTGGTAGATAAAGCCAAAGGCGAGCGTCACAAATGCATCCAAATATTGGATCCTGTTAGAAATAATGGACTTTTGATGAAATACTGAGAAACTTCGTCGCAATTACCTACACTCCCTGGAACCTGGGCTTGTGCCGTTCCAACCATAGAAAAACGCCCTAATAACAGCTTCGAATCTCCCATGTGCCAAATACAAGGTCCAAAATGACCCGAAACAACGCCACACAACACAAAGTTCAATAGTCTCCATGGTTTCCAATCTCATGCCCATGACTTGCCGGTCACTACGGCTATTCAATGTCATTAGAGGACAGGGGCGGGGCCCTTGATAATGTTAAATCCCCAAACCCTGAACCATAGCTCCTCCAATCGTCTCCATACAGGACTGAACTTCCTTCAAGGCGCTCTAGTATGGTTTCAGTCGAATTGAGCTACCCCCAGACTTGGACATGGGACGAGAAAGCTTGTTCTTCAGGGGGGCCATCTCGCCCTCCTCAACTAAAACATCAAGACCAGACTTTATGTACTCCAAGCGTTCATCCCGCCCCCAATCGATGATATTCCGGACGAATCTCCGAAACTCGAGGAACTCTTCGGGTCGCTGGATAATGAAGCTCTTGATCTTTTGCATATATATGAAGTCTCCATCCTTCCAAGACACATGCAATCGAGCCTCAGTTCCATTCATGGCAACACTAAAGCTCGTGTTGTCAAGCGGTTCGATGTGTTCAATGCCCGTACACTTCTCAAGCCGGTCTTTCAACCTCTCACTGATGTGTATACAGGCCGTGGACGCTCCCAGGCATTGGTTCGTCGCCACCTAGAGACTACCTTTGCTGGATGGTCCATCGCCCTTGAACTCGACTGTAAAGAAGGGAAACGTAAGGCCTTCGCTGTTTGCAAATGCAAAGTTTCCATATGTCGCGATCTGCATTTGCTGGCCATGTTCGAAGGCTGAGAAGCGGTACCCGTATAGGAGATCGGGAACAGGGACACTGATTCTCGCGTAGGGATTGGTTATGGGAATAACGGACCTACTTACAAAGACACGATCGCTGCGCTGGATCTTGTCTGTGCTGGAACTCGGGGGGATGATGTTGTTTCGAACAAATTCTTCAACCTTTGGTTCACTTGCCCCTGCCTCCATGGCATAAAGATCATCATTGTCCTGGGGGATAGGCTCAGGGGATGATCGACCTTTCTTGAGAGATTCGACAAGTGCGGAGAGATGAGGGGGGAGTTCAGTTCGGGAGTCGAGTAAGAGGATATTGTTAAGTGCAAGATTGCAATCCCGGTAGAGGGCACTCTCTACAAGTGGCCCGTTGGATCGATTAGCTGTGCCAGTGGCAGTTGGGTAAATAGTCGGTGTCGGGTCAATAGACGGCCCCCCTTCTTTAGAAGTGAATCCAGGAGTCGAGCGCTTGAGGGATGATTTCTGAGAAAACGCTAGGTTAAAGGTGACAGCTCGACCGGTGACGTTTTTTCTACCTCCCATAATGGCTGGAGCAGAATGAGATCTTTCTTGGAGTACGGATTCCGAGTCTTGGTCTAGAATGAAGCAGTCTGAACGTGATATCTTGCGTAGATCTTGAGGATAAATATCTTCGAGCCAGTTGCCGATCTTTTCCAGGTATGAAGGACGAGGCAGAGTCTCCTTTATATACTCCAGAAGAGCAGCAGATGGACGAGTACTCCGAATAGGAGCTGGCTGAAACATGACCTATTAAGACACAAGTCAGCTCATAAAGAAGAGGCTATCATGGTGTTTTGTCGATGATGAGGTCTTGTACGACTTGATGGGATTCTCACATGGTCGTTGATATTGTGAAATCCAATTTCACAGCAAGCTTTCTTCAACTGCTGGGCCTCTGATGGAGAGATTGAGGGAGATCTGCTGGCGGCGCGCTTCCTAGGGTTGACTGGCGGGGCCTGAATAGGCGCTGGTTCTAGCGAACTGTCCATGATGAGGGCCGAGATTGAGAGAAATGCGGTGGTATCGAGAATAGAGGTAGAGGGCCCTTAATATATGGTTCTGAGAGGGCACTACCATGAGTGAAGAAGGATGTTCAAGTCAAGTTTGGCCATTCTGATGAGAGTGGTTCTTTGGGTCGTGACAGGACTGGCCATGCTCGAAGTGAGCGATGAAGCAATGTCAAGACATGCATTTTGGCCACTACAAGGAGAAGGATCTGTAGTATTAGCAGTGATTCAGAGGTAATTTTTGCAAGGTAGTTGAATCAGAACCTGGGGTTAATGCTTCCAGACAATACAAAGTTGTCAGTGATAAAATATCGAGCCACAACACGTTGTATGAACTTAACCATATAAAGTGCCACCTACCGCCTCTGATTCAACAACCTATAAAATCCACACGATAAAACCGTTTCCGCAAAAGCCACATGATTCTCGACGCTCCGTGAAACATGTGAAGAGCATTACAGGCACCGTCCTACCTACATCAGCATCAAAGTGCAGATTGTTTCAGCCAGGTAAACAACGTCAATCCCTGCGGTAGATCCCCCAGATTTGTATCGTAAAAGGTCCGAATGGTTTCGGATACGAGTGAGAAGTGCTAATCTTTGGGACCGTTGA